TATATCTTTCTTAGCACGATTACCCGCAGGAGTGTCGCCCTGGAGGTCTCAACGGCAATTATATTATGTTTGCCAGTGCCACCTCCGGAGATCGCCCAAACAACTCAAAGTTCTCGCCTTGCTCCATTCGGAATATCTCTAATGTCCTGGACGTCCTGGTGGGCAACACAAAGCGGGATTGCTTCAAGGCTTCGGAGGGAGCCTTCTGCGGCAATAAGATTGTGGAGTCTGGCGAGGAGTGTGACTGTGGCTTCAATGGGGACGAGTGCAAGGACGATTGCTGCTACCCGCGTCTGATTAGCGAGTACGACCAGTCGCTGAACTCCAGTGCCAAAGGCTGCACCCGTCGGGCCAAGACGCAGTGTTCCCCGTCGCAGGGTCCCTGCTGTTTGCCCAACTCCTGCGCCTTTGTGCCCACCAGCTACCACCAGAAGTGTAAGGAAGAGACGGAGTGCAGCTGGTCGAGCACTTGCAACGGAACCACCGCCGAGTGTCCGGAGCCACGTCATCGGGATGACAAGACCATGTGCAACAATGGTACTGCACTGTGTATGCGGGGTGAATGTAGTGGATCGCCATGTCTGCTCTGGAACATGACCAAGTGTTTCCTCACGTCGACCACGCTGCCGCACGTCAACAAACGCAAGCTGTGTGACTTGGCCTGCCAGGATGGAAACGATACCAGCACCTGTCGCAGCACCAGCGAGTTTGCTGAGAAGTATAATATCCAAAAGGGTGGCATTAGTCTGCAGCCGGGATCCCCTTGCGATAATTTCCAGGGCTACTGTGATGTGTTCCTCAAGTGTCGAGCTGTGGACGCCGATGGTCCACTGGTGCGACTGAAGAATCTGCTGCTCAACCGGGAAACTCTACAGACGGTGGCCGAGTGGATCGTCGAAAACTGGTATTTGGTGGTGCTGATGGGTGTGGCCTTTATCGTGGTCATGGGAGCCTTTATCAAGTGCTGTGCGGTGCACACACCCAGTTCCAATCCGAAAAAGCGGCGAGCTCGTCGCATCAGCGAAACTCTGAGAGCTCCCATGAATACGTTGCGAAGAATGGTACGGTTTTGAAATAACTTTGTTGAGAGTAAGGTAATTTACACTGAAATATTGCAGCAACGTCATCCCAATCAGCGAGGAGCCGGACCTCGAAGCATCCCACCGCCGGCCCACGAGGCGCAGCACTATCCCCGCGGCGGCGATGGACGCAGTGGTGGTGGTGGCGGAGGAGGAGGTGGGGGAGGGGGTCGCCACGGTGGCTCGCGGTCGCACAACCAATCGCACCCGCACGATTGGGATCGCCAGCAGGGCGGTCACTCAGTCGTACCACTGCCCACCGGCGGCAGTCACTCCAGTCGCAATTCGGCAGCGAATCAGGCGAGAAGGAGTGATGGCCGTGGCACACGCTCCACCAGCAGTGGCCGTCCACAGGCGGCTTCCAGCGGAGGTGTTGGAGCCACTAGCGGAGCAGCGCGATCACATGGCGGGTATGGAGCCGAACAGGCGATACCAGGTTCCATTGGTGGTGGTGTCCAGGCGGCCATTAGCAGCGGCGGTGTGGTGGCTCGGGCCCAGCTGCCGCTGCCATTGCCGCCGCCCAATGCACAGCAGCAATTGCAAACGCACCAACAACAACAACTACAACTACAGCAACCGGCAATTTCGCCGCAACAGCAACCACAGCAACAGCAAGCGTTCTACACGCCGAAAGGTGTGTGTCCCCATTCTCCACAAGAGTGAGCCCTGAGTCGGTAGTTTTGCCCCCAGACATGCTCCTCATTTTCTCAAATTGTTTTTTCCCCCATTTCCCAGTTTTTTTCACGAATTTAATTTGTCGTTTTTCTTTTCGTTTGCGAAACGCTACAAATTCAGAACTACCACCACGCAATAAGTCCCGATCATCACGTACCAACAACACCTCCAACACCACAACCACCAACTCATCCACAGCGGCAGTCGGCAGTGGGTCGGGATCGGGATCGGGGGCGGGCAGTAGTAGTAAGAGCAAAAGCGGGAAAAGTGCCAAAGCCAAAGAGTCAAAGTCGCACAAGTCGCAGCAGCAGGCCAGCAGTCGCAGTAGCAGCAAGGAGAAGGCCGTCAAGCCAGTGCGCCGCAATATTGTTTATTAATGAGTGGATCCATCAAATTGCCATACAGAACACTGAAAGACAGACCCCGAACCCCAAAAAACCAAAAAACGCCCGCTGCTAGTCATCGATCCATAAGCTGTTGCTTCCCATCCACCACCAAACACAAAAAAAAGATATCAAAATGATAATTCTATTAACCGAAGCAATTGGTATGACCTTTGTGATTTTTCCCCAGTTTATTTTGGTTTGAGACCCCACTTTAATTTTGTTGGATGTACTTTTGTCCCTGTTAATAGTTTGGTCGTACTTTTCTCCTCTTTCACCTGCATGTGACATTTCCCCTAATATTTTTGATTTTGGTCCCCTTAGTGCCCCATTTTCGTTTTGTTTTGGATAATGTTTTTGTATTGTTGTTGTTATGTTTTTGCATGTGCATTTAAATGGTTTATTTAACACTTATATAACTCCTTATTAATCAAATATTGGTGATTATAAAATCACGTAAAAAGGGTTTAATGGGGTTATAAATATATGATATATTAATCTTAAGAACAAAAGCATTTTTTAAATCTTTATTTTATATGTTATGATAATGATAAAAATATTTTTAAATTTTTTAACTTGAATTCTGTTTATCTCCAAAAAAAAAACGATAAATAGATTTATAAAATGCTAAAACACATAATTACTAACACAACTTATAAGGAATGTTGAAGTCCATTTAATTTTCTGATTACTATATTTGATAAATTTGTTTCCGCTCTTAGGCGTCGCGCCGCCGCCGCTACAAGTAAGCTTTAGTCGGCCGACATCGTTGCATGAGCAACAGCAGCAGCAACACCATCTGCAACAGCAGCAGCAACTGGAACCGCAGCAGCAACACGCCTACGCCGATGCGTATGCGGCCTTGGGGCGGGGCCAATATGAATCCACTACGAGGGCGCCCAACAATAGTAAAGTTTGACAGCCAAAAGTGGCAATGGAGCGCCATAAAAGGCCAAAAGCAAAGCGACTCAAGCAGCAGCAACAACAACAGCAAACAACACAGCCCAAACAGCAACAAAAGCAACAACATAAATCAAATGAACTCAAATTAAATGTAAATGTAATTTTTATGCTAATTATTTTTATTTAAGCAATGTTTGTATGCCACATAGGAAAACCGCCAGAAAAAAAAACACAAAAAAATGGAGACAAATTTCATAAAACAGAAAAAGCTAAAAGTGAATGATATTTTTGATTAATAAATTGAAACGAAAAATACGAATGCAAATTATGGTTAATATAAATAATTAAAAACGGCAACATGCATAATACATATAAATCGAAAAGTAAATATATACATTTGTATGTATATATTTATTACGCATACACAAATATTAAATAGCAGCAGCCACAAAAAATTAATATGATACTTGAAAAGAAAAAATTATGTTTAATTGAATGGGAAAAGCATTCTATATGTTGGTGAGATTTCTAAGTGGGAAGCATGAATAAAAAACTTGAATCACAAAAATGTGTTTTGTACAAAAAAATTAATGAAATAAAAACAGTGCGAATTAATTAAGCGACATTAAAAAAAACGGAAACAACAAAGCATTTAAATTGTATTTATCTGTACCGAAGGCTAAATGTTTATTTAAAGCCGTCAAAATTGCATTTGTAAACTAGCAAACAACCATGAAAACCAAAAAGTATAAAAACCAGAAATATTATATAAAAGAGCGAGACTTAAAACTTATGGTGGAAACAATCCAATATTTTTAATTTGTTGCCAAAAGCATTTTTCTGTACAACTTTAGAACGTCGCTTTGATTGTTTTCCGTATATATTTTCCTTGTGCAGAAAAAGCAAACGAAGTAACTAATTTTTATATTTCACGTATTTTTACTATCTTAGGTAAAATTTTCTATTGTCAATTTTTATTAGTATTAGGTTTAAAGCTTTATGTTTTAGCAATCTGGTAGCAAGACCACCACTGATTATGTTTAATGTTATCTATCATATATGTGTATATCTGCCAACATTAAAATCTATTTTTATGAACGTAGGTCATGTACATGTGAGTCTACGTGTGCTTGTAATTACTTTGTTGTAGTCTCATAGGTTACTAGTTTATGTTTTTTGTTTTTGTCTGTGTTTCGTATTTGCATGCTCAAAGATGAAACGTGCAACTCACGGAGTCCCGACTGATGCACTACTCCAAGAAAAGACATTTATAGGATGGAAGTTATTTGATTATTTCGTTGAAATACTTGTGTTATTTCATTTAACATCCAGATTTTAAAATATGGTTAAAAAAAAGAATTCTCAAAATTAAATGTATCCCGTGTTCTTTGATAGCTTATTTTTAATTCCTGCAGGACTCAACGTAAAAGAACATCTTCAAACTCTTGTAAATAAACTCTATGAAATATATATAAATATAAATACTAAAATATACTCTAAGGAATAAATTAAAATTGAATTGCATATACAGAAAAAGCAAAATAAGTTTACAAAATAATTAAATTACATAAATTGATATATGAAGTATGTATTCAATTCAAATTGACAAGTGAAAAATGCAAAGAAACGAAACAAACACAAGGCGAACAAAGCAAAACTATGCTTTTGATTTTTCTCAAACAACATAGTAAACAAAGAACAAAAACAAAAAACATTTAACTATTAATTTAATTAAAATAAATAAAGAATTAATTAATTGACTTTAAGTAAACTAATTAATTATGATTATGGAACAAATTTCTTAAAAAAGAATGAATGAATATGAGAAAAGATAATAAAAAACAAGAAAACCTACTATTTTATAAAATAATAAATGTGTTTTTATTCATATAGCAAATATCGCTTCAAACCTGGTTGAATTAACGAATCTTCATCGATGAGACCCAAAAAAAAAACAACATTTAGTTCTTTAATTTTAATTAGTGAGAAAAGGATCAAGGCACTTTGCGAAAATACACATTAGTTTACAAATACTTATAAATTAGTATACAAAAACTGTTTTGGTTAACAACGAACGAGCCGAACACATTATTTTATGGGAGCTTCTGGTCAAGAAACCTATGCGCGTATTCGAGAGGTCTTCTTGCTCTTGTCGGCTTTCGGTGGCGGTGGTCCACTGCGTCCCGCCTGAGTATGACGATTGTAGATGCTGTCGAGGATATTGGTGATAAGTTGGGAATACTCTTTTGGATATATTGGATATATTGTGAACTCACATTTTGTAGGTCTCCGTTTTGAGATAGTCGATTACATGACTGATGCCTAGTAAATATTGCTCGGCAATGGGATTAACCCAGGGATTCTCCTCCATCTTCATCACCGACTTGTTACTCAGGAGGTCCAGTTGGGCAATTTCCGGTGGCAGGACCTGCAGCCTATTGTTCTGAATATGCAGCTCCCGCAGTCGTACCAAGTCCCCAACTTCTCGGGGAAGCTCTAGTAGATCGTTGTCTCGCAGACCGAGAATTTGGAGATTCTTCAGTTGGCCCACCTCCGGCGGTATATACTCGAAGTCATTATCACCCAGATATAAGGCACGCAGAGTTTCCATGCCGAAGAAGTTGCCCGGCAGCACCTGTTCGTTAAGATTGTTGTACGAAAGGTCCAACACCTCCAGAACGGGGAAGGCTCCAAAGCCCCGAGGCAGGTTGATTAGCTTATTGATGGAGACATTGAGGATTCGCAGCTTGGGCATGGACGACAGCGAAACGGGCAGTTCGGCCAGCTGGTTGTTGGAGAGATTAAGGATCTCCAAATTCAGAAGGTTCGCGATTCCGGGACTGATCACACTGATCTTGTTGTGGGACAGGGTCAGTCGCGTGATGTTGGACATGTTGACTGTTGGCGGAGAAATAGAGTGGTTATTTAAAATATAAGCTTTTAAGTTCAATGTTAATTTGAAAGAAAAATTTTTTTAGTTGCAAACAAAATATTTTTTATGAAAATTTTTGCTTTTCCAGCAATGGACACAAAAATCATCTTCATTGCGGTATTTATTATTTTTGTAAATTTCAATGTTAATTTGAAAGAAAAATTTTTTTAGTTGCAAACAAAATATTTTTTATGCAAATTTTTGCTTTTCAAGCAATGGACACAAAAATTTACAATTTAAAAAAATGTTTCTTTTTGTATCCGCAGTAAATTCGGCACTGGCCTCAAATGTAAACAGCTGATTGCACGCAACAAGTATAGACGCCAGAAGAAAGAGCGAGATAACTATATTAACATAGGCATGCGTAATGTTGTTCTTCATAAAATTTGATAATTTAAGAAGTAAAGTACAAAATTCACTTTAGCAACAATCATTTTATGAAAAATAAGTATGAATTAAGGGAAAAACGAAAATCAATTTATTCAATAACTTCATGGAAACAATTCAGCGTTGCAGGAATTGTATTTATCGGCTTTGTTTACGTTTTGTTCATTGATTGATTTCTATTTTGGTGCTGGCGTCATCGCAATAAATAAAAAAAGGTATCGTCCGTTTCATAGCACAATTAATTCTTAGCAAATAAATATTACCCATTATTTAAATGATAGAACACAAGAATATTACAAAACTTAAAGTTTTTCACAACAGCTGGGCGAGGTCTCATTTAGCGTGGGAGTGTCTATATCCCGTTGAGTCAGTTTTTTAAAATAAGCACTTAAATTGCTTAAATTCAATACTTACACAATCCAGGCAACTCCTCGAAGGACGATAGCCCCTTGTCCACCAGATCCAACTCCCGATTTTGGGTGTCTCGTGCTTCATCCAAAACTTTCTTTGCCTTCGACATCTTTGCGCTGACTGGTAGACACTGACTCATTTTGGTCGAGTGTGATCACAAATTTACTAAAAAATACTGAAAAGAATAATTTAAAATTATACGTTACAACCAATATTGGAAGTACAAATATCTTAAACTCTAGAGCTATTATGCATTTTAAAAATAAATCTTAGAATACTTTTTTACAATTTAATTCTCTTCACAAATTTTAGCATAGAAATACGTCCATATACAATCCCAAAAGCACACATAGAAAACTAATAAGACCAAGACTCCTGTACAAATTATACAATTTGTATGATGTTGGTTAATAAATAAAAACAATATATAAAATCTTAAAATTTACAAAGTGCTACTTTGTAATTCTAAACGATGCCAGATGGCAAAAAAAAGTTCCTTTGACATAAAGATTACATGCCTAGAATGTCTGTTGTCGAATTGACATGTAGAAATAATGTAAATTAAATCTTTAACTAAAGATTCAATTGAATTTAACATTAATAGTTTTGTATTCCTAAATAATGAAATTATTTCTTAAATAACCATAATTATTTAAATTCTACTTCAAGTCCAGAATGGTTTATCTCCTGTAAATAGATAGTTGTCAAGTGCTATAATAAAGCTGTCTGGTCATTTCCAAATGTATTTTTTAGATTTAAATTCTTTAAGCTGATTATTAAATAGTCTATAGTCTTTTAGTTGCAACTTCAGTTTCTTTTTTATATTTTAAATTTTTAAATCAATCACTTACAGAGTACCTCTCAAACTGTTTTCTTAGGCACTCCCAGTAGCTCTAAAACTGTGTCAACTGCACTTTTCGTTTGCATATGTTTTTGTGTGGGCAGTTTTCAGCACTTTTTATTCACATTGATATAGATTTTATTACTTTTTGGGTCACTATGTTACACAAACAATGCACTTGACCTATTTTTCTGGAAGAAACCACAAAGGTCACTTTTATTACAAGGCAGAATAGATTGAATATCCACGCGCATTTAAATCTTTAGACCTTATTATAAGGCATTCACGTTACAGAATGGAACATGGATTCTATTATAACACGTCTCCGCTCTCCGAAATTAATCACAAAAATAGCCAAAAGGCGGAATGCGTCGTACGTCGTGCGATCGTCTCGAGTAACTGAGGAGATCTCTCGCCGAGTCAGCGAGATCGATCAAAAGTGGATGTGGGCGAGTTTGGGGCGCTGGGGGCTGGTTTTGCCTTTTCTGATTGTCGCCTTTGCCGGCAAAAACAAAAGCAGCAAACCCAAACCCGATATTGGGTCTTGGTGATTTTTTTTTAAACTTATTTCGTATTTTTCTCCAGCATCTTCACAGTGCGGGAAACCAGTTTGAATTATAGAGATGAACTTGTGTTCCGAACCAATTACAGGCTTGTTTTCGAGGCATAGCTAAAGCATAAAATCGCTAATTCTTTCCGTTTAGTGATTTCGCACAGCTCCGGACATAGTGAAAAGAACCCCAGAGATGTATGGGTTGCAGAACAAAGCTGCACTTCTGAATATAGGATGTCCATAAAGTTCTTTATAATCGTAGTCCTGCTAGTACTGTCGATCTTCGTCAGTAGAGCAACCGACAAAAAAAAATCGAGAGTCTGTAAGTCTGTAATAAAGTCTGATTAATATATTAATATAAAACTTTTCCCATATTACATTGTTATCCAGTCTGCAAAGGAAAACGAGGATGGGGCGAATGCATGGCCGACGATCAGCCATGTAAACATCGACGATATAAGGACCGATTTTGCAAAACCAACACCATGTGTTGTGCGACGTAAGAAATTGAAGAACATTTTTGAAATAAAAGAAAAATTGATTAGTTCCCCACAGTTTATTTATTTATTTAATAGAAAAAAAGAGCTGAACCTTAAATAGAAAAATTTACTTTTTCTTTCCATCTGAGCCAGAATGGTTATTCTTAAGATATTGTATATTCTTGTCTTATTTCTACTGCTCGCCCCTGACGACACAGAAAGTAAAGCTCGCTATATAAGTAAGATTTTGGTCACATCATTAGATTAAAATTTTTAAAGCTAATCGCTTGAGTAAGTTTGTAAAAGCAGGAAGAAACAGAAGGGACGTTGCATAATGAAAGGATCAAATTGTCATGGAGTTACCCATCCTAATCGTGTTTGCAATTCGGCTGCCCATTGCTGTATCCTCAATAAGGGACATTCTTGGGACAAGAAGAAGACCACGACCCTATTACTAACCAAACATTCGATTACTCCACAACCAGAAACAATACTATCTAACTTCGTTTAATAAGTGTCAACATGTTAAAACCACAGAATTGCTATTTTCACAAATAATAAGGTAAGATTCCATTAAACTATTATGCAATAAACACCATTATATTTTTAAATGTAAACGATTGCAAGAAAAACGGCCGACCATGCCCACTTAAAAAAATGCAATAATACATTTTTGGGGCTTACACTTCTTTGAAATTTTGCTGAATTTTCCACTTTTTGGGCAATTATATATCTATAAGATAAAAGTGTTAACAATGTATAAAATAATCGGTGATGGCGATAAATATATTTTTCAGAGCAAATTTTGGTAATGTAGAATAAAGCTTTTAAAATATTATACAATTTATGAAATAATTTTTAAAACAATAAACTGGGAAGTTTAAAATGAATCCAAAGCTATTATCATACTCTTTTCAGAATTAAAGCGCCTAAGCCTTGGGAAAACTATTCCAGTTATGCGTGAAATAACGTAAAATTGGCACAACTTTCTGGATGAGAACATGTCTGATATTATCTCCTTGAGTACAGTATTTGCCGGGGGTTTTCCGCTTTGCCTGTTTGTTGCATTTTTAATTACTCAGTCGTGCTCCAGTTGCCGATGCCGTTGTGGACCTCCGATGTTTGTGTGGGTGCCTACCATTTTGGCTTTCGTATTAATTTTCATTTCGCCGGTTGTCGAATCCGCAAAACAGAAAGTTTGTCTTATGCGCCTGCATAATTTGCGTGTTGCATACACTTTTTTTTGTGCAGCTTCGCCTTTTGGGGCGTACTGGCCGGAATGATGGCGAGTGCCTTTGCTGTTGCGGGACGCACACACTTCCGCCGTATAAAATATGCAAAACAATGCAAACTCTCGCCTGGCCGGCAAAACAACAACAATAGAAACAAAATAAAAACTTTCCCTGGCCCAAAAATTAATTTTTGTTTTAGATGGCGCGCAGATTTTTCGGGTGCATTTTTGGCTGCACTGCTAATGCTGCGGCACAGGCACCACCAACCGACCACTGTCCGTAATTTTTGTTTTAATTAACTTTTTGTTTGCTTTTTTCGCGTTGCCAAAGTTTTGCAGCTCTGTGCAAATTGCGCTAATTTTGAAATGGTGGGCATCAAAATGTTTGGAAATACATTTTTCATACTCAGAAATTTTGTGGGCAGTCGCAGTTATGATGATATATGAATTGCAGTTAAGGATGCCTTTAAAAAATATATTGTTCACCATTTCTGAATTTTATATAAATTATAGTTTTTTTTTTAATATTATTTTCCCTTTGTTGACAGTGATTTATATGTCCTAAATAATAAAATATAAAGCGTGGTTGACATTTTTAAATCATTTTTAAGAGACTATTTTTTCCTTCCTGATTGTAAAATAACTTTCTTAAGTTGATGAAGTTTTCTAGTATGGATAAAAGCTATTTTGTCAGTCTACTATGATAATTTATTATGGCTTAATGTGCTGCTGGACTTACCTTGCTAGATGAAACTGCAACACATGGTGAAACCAAAAATTGTTCATTGCCAAGTATGCTTAAAATTCTTAAATGGACATTTGGCGGCTATAAATTCGCATTAAGAGCTAACATCATTTAAGTTAGGTTTATGGTAACGTCCGGGTGTGTAGGGGCGGCAAATAATCGATTTGAATTCCAGTTAATTGATGGCGCTTGCCTGCCAACAGGCATCCAAGTCCTCACTAATTTGTACCCATTTTCCTGGCATTGACCACAGCTAGAAAGAGTTGTCGGCTGATTGAATAGCTCCAAGTGGGCTCAAACTGGGCCGAAATCGGGCTCGGTAGGTTGACAGCGATATAAATGACAGTCCCCCCTCTCAGAGCTGTCAACACACAGACATGGGCGCATACTTCTGGCCGGCACTGTCCGGCAGTTGGGCGCTTACTTTATTCCTGGCAATTTTTCAATGCGCTTTGTTTACCCGGACCCAAGGCAGCTGGCATAAAGCCCGATAGCCTAAGGACCAGCCAGGCCTTGGCAATCATTGGCAACGGTTGCTTTGTAGCTTCATTGAGGCCTCGACCACAGGATGTGCCTTTTGCCGGCTTGCACTTACTTATCCGGCTCCCAGCCATCCTTCCCATCCTCCCGATCCTCCATCTCCCAGCTCCGTGCCGTTTGATTTACTTCAAACAATTGGCAACATCATACATCAACGCGCTTTTGTTTTTGTTCTGGGTCTTCTTGTTATCCCTTTTTGTTGAATAAATCCTTCTTCTTTGCTCCTTCATCGGTTTGGGTTCTCGGCTCATGGTTTGTCCAATTTGTTCAGATTTTGATGTTTCTTGGGATTATGAAGTTTTATTTTTGCTATCAAATAAATATGAGTTCTCATTTTCTTTAAATCAAATTTATTTAAACTGTTTAAAACAAATAAAAGTAAATTATTATATAAGATTTTTTCCCTGTTGTGGAAACCTTTTACTTCTTTAGTTTTTTTTTAAATCAAATCAAAGCCACAATGATACAATTTGAAATAATTATTAAATAAATTCAACACCCAACATGTTGGAGCAAAAAATAAAAAAAATAATTTAATATGCACATGCGAATGATGGGAAAACTAATCCATTTTAATTAAAGTAAATAAAATTGTACTTTCAAAGTGATGGTGGTTAGCAGAGCACACAGAGGGATTATGCAACCATTACAAAATGAGAAAAAAAAATCACAATGCAAAAACGAATCAAATGGGAATAATTATTGAAGTCCGACGATGGGGCAATGTTAGATAAACGGATTTAAATTACGGAGTTTGTTTGCCTTTATGTAAAATGCATAATTCATAATTATGCACAGGGCAAATAAATAAAATGTCATATTAATTTGTTGACAATAGCGAATTTATTAGCTGCACAAAGGGCTTAAATTCTGTAGCTTACAAAGCTATTAATTAGCGCTGAGCTGGCATTTGGACTGTCAACAGATATTTAGCTGCTCATTAGTTCTCCAACAACCGAATCTCAGTGTGAGCCCGACCTGCATCAAGTATACGCCGCATATGACCAACAGTACCTCATTAGGATTCAGTCTGAGTCCCGCTGCCTCGACTCGTCTCAAGCCAGCTTTTGTTCCAGTCTTCCGCAACGCCAGCCGCACCAACGCAAAGAGACACACGGAAAATAAGAACATTTTGCGAGCACGGAAAAACTACTTGCTATTCAGTGCGTTGAACTTCGTTTAGCAGGGCGAAATGTTTTGGAACTCGTTAGGGCGTCCAAGAAGCGGGCAGAGATTGAGCCGAAGCCCTGACAGCCTGATGCCCCATCAATGGACACTGCCCTTAGCTTCGGAATCATTGAATGCCACCGGGTAATTGACTTAGCATAATCTGTTGCAAGATGTGCATTTTTGGACAGGTTGTAACAGTATGGATAGTTCAGCCCTGGTTACGGTTTTATATAAATCAGATTAGTTTTTTCTTATGTGGTTACATTAGGCTTAGGTATTTTGCATGCCTATCTAAAAATTATTAAAATATATATTTCGCTTACATTTTCCTTAAGGAATTGTGTAAACCAATTTAACTTATAATTTAACAGAACAACTTTAAATATACATCTGGTACCGCAAGTATAAAGTAAAATATCTAATTATAAAATATTGTTTAAATGTGTGATTTTATAATGGGCGAGCCGTTCCGAGTGATAAAAGCCATTGCCCGAAAACATACAAAAGTTATTAAACAGCCACAATAATTACGGACACCTGTTGTCAATCCCCTGTAGATAGATGAACTAGGAATGGGAAAATCTTTTTTTATTGATAAAGCTCATTTGGCAGATACTATGTTTTGTTTTGCAATTGATAATTCAAGTTAAAGTTTTTAGCAACTTGACATCAAATAATTTAACACGTT